CATGCAGCGGATGGTGCGTGACCAGGCTGTGGGTCATTCACTGGCTTGCTTCTGCTTTCTTTCTTTGGGTGCCCAGTTTGGTTGAGCTGAGTACTGTACGTTGAAGCTACTGAGTTGAGAGAGTTTTCTCGCTTCATAAGTGCGGAGCAGCGATTTGGACAGAAGGCAGCATTGAGATAAATGTTTATTACCTTATGCTTATCTCCTGGGAATGTTTCCTACAGCTTTACTGTATGTGTTAAATATAACAGCTACCTGGGCCACGCCCTTTCCCTATTCCACCTACTTGGTCACAAATTCAGACCTCCTATGAACTCTGTCTGACCCCAAATACCTAAACTCAAGGCCTAAAACTAGGAACACCATTTACTGATTTTATTCCTCAATTTCTTCACTGTGAAGTTCTGTTGTAAATTCAAGATAAAAATGGAATGTGGCTTTTCAAGATAAGCCATAGTCTTTTTAGGCTTTTTTAAAAATTTTATTTTTTTTACTTTAACACCGGCCTTGTGCACAAGCCTGACAAATGACTGCTTTCGCCAAGTGCCTTTTAGAGAGAAACTCTGAATTGGCCACAGCTCAGCTTGCATCAGCTCAGTGCCAAACCCAGCACCTGAAGCTTTTCAGGTGGAACCTCCCCGCTTCCCTGCCGAATTTCTCTAAAACATCTGTCCCTGGGGAGGAGGGAGAGATCGCTCAGTGCTGCCCTTGGGTGTAATGTCACCAGCGCACCCTGCAGGGTGAGTTGGTTTTCCCCATGCGGATTATTTGTGTAGTTCTCTCTTCGGGGGCCATGCAGGGTGCTAGAAGGAGAACCTGGTGTCGGGTAACTCCAGTTCCATTTGGTCATTAGCTGGCTTTGTGGCCTTGAGCACGTTACTTCACCTCTCTGAGCCTTTGTCCCCTGTGGAGTGAGAGGCTGGATGAGATTAGTGGTTCTCTGAACCCTCCCAGGGTCAGTGCTCCCTTTTTCAAACAAATATTTTTTTTTCTGGCAATTCTGAAATGAAATTCAAAGTTAATGGGATCAACATGACATATATTTTTAAACAATGAATATAACACCCTAACTGTAATAGGATGCAATAAAAAGGAAAGGCAGTTTTTAAGAGAATAAAATGTATTTAATAGCAAAGGTTGGGTGTGACCATCTGGAAGACAGAATGAAGTCATCAGATGTTTTCACCGTGTGTAGCATCACAAGCTCCCAGGGCAGACCAGTGTGTGTTGCATTGGCAACATTCCACCTAGGGTTGTCACTGGGTATGATTTTCTGAAGTGGTAGACAGCTCTCGGAAAGTTTTGAACAAAAATCTTAGAGTTGTGCCTTGTACATGCATTCCTGGACTAGTCGCTGGGTAGTAAAACCATGCAACAGTCACCTTTAGCTATATGTCGAAAGGTCATTTCTAACATCTCACTGAGTAAAGAGAATGCTTACATACCAGAATTTTCTTTGTGGAGTTGGATGTGGAAGTTCATGCCCTGATTTGGAAAAAGGACACCTGTATTCAGTGTATGTGCTCCGTACCCTGTCTGGCCACGTGCCCTTTCTCAGGTCTCCAGTTTGAACTATAACCACAACAGGGAATGGGGGGTAGTCTAGAGTAATTTTGGGGGGAAAATCCACAAAACCAAAGGAGGCCGACCTGTGCTCCTTTCACCTGGGTATGCACCTTAACCTCAGTAACTTTGAAAAATGAAAAGCTCTTACTTCATAATCTGGGTAAATATTAGCTTCTGTATTATTGGTTCAATATCGAATAATAAAATTGAGGAAAAAAAGTGCTTCTGTATCTGTAGGTTCTTTGCTATAAAATGCTTTCCTTCCAGGTTCCCAAGGGCAGCAATGCCTTTCACCCACCCCCATTCTGTGGGGCCTGGAGCAGGGCGGAGTCCGTTCAGTGAATAATACCAGCTGTGCCTGTCTGGTTAACGCTGTGATGGCTGCAATCCCATGCTGTAGCTCAATTGCTAGCTTTAGTTCATGTTGTTCACAGTTCATTGTCATCATATTCAAGACGCTCTCTCTGAGTAGTATTTTACCATTCTCATGCAGCTTTCACTTAGTTATTTCAGTTGCTGCCCCAAACAAATGCAGATGTCTTCAGCCTTATAGATCAGGAACCTGATATAAGGTTCAATGTACCGCACAGTCTTCTTCCAAGGCCTTTCATTTTGGAATAATATTCTATCCTGTTTTCTTTTGTCCCTCCCCGGCCTGTAGCATCAGTTCGTTTATTTACATGTTCGTTCATTCATTCATTCATTCATTCACTCATTCATTCATATAGTCACCAATACTCATTTGATGAGTACTTCCTGTGTGCCAGACACAACACATACTCTAGGGATATGGTGGTGGACAGGGTTCCGTCTCCAGTGGATCTTAATGTCATGTCCAGTTGTATTCTTTGGTGATTTCCCTGTTATAGGGAGCGGATATGATGGTGGAAAGGAAAAATGGAGTCCTACAGTAAATTTAAAAGAGAAAATGCCACATATTAACTGAAGAGATTAAATATGTTAATTTTTTTTGTGGGGGGTTACCTGCAATATAGAGAGCTATGCCAGACAATGATGGAAGTGTGGTGAGCCGCACAAGAGAATGCAACTCAGTCATGTCATCCACGGTGAGTTACTCAGTCTTTTAACAAATATCTACTGAACCTATGACCCCAGGACAGTGATGGCGAACCTATGACACGCGTGTCAGAGGTGACACGCGAACTCATTTTTTTGGTTGATTTTTCTTTGTTAAATGGCATTTAAATATATAAAATAAATATAAAAAATATAAGTCTTTGTTTTACTATGGTTGCAAATATCAAAAAATTTCTATATGTGACACGGCACCAGAGTTAACTTAGGGTTTTTCAAAATGCTGACACGCCGAGCTCAAAAGGTTCGCCATCACTGCCCTAGGATCATTAATCATAAAATGAGTCTGGGGAGGAGAAACTCATAAGATCAATTCCAACACTTCTCATTACCACAGCTGCCATATTCCTGAGTAACAAGACAATTTTCAGACCATTATAGTTCACTTTGAGGCACCCCACAAACCTTCATGGGGCAGATTGCTGCCAATAACGTTCTATAAAGTTTTGAGTGGAAGATTTCTTAGTAGTATGACTTAGAATAGTATCATATCTATAATTAAGGGTAAAGTGAAGCAGAGCATTTAAGAAACTAGTATTACAAACTGCATTAGGTCGCTGAAATGTGAGCCCGGGAACCATATGGGTGACATTTCGGTATTTGCCATTTAAACACCAAAGCAGTGAATTTTGTTGGCCTTCGTACAGTCAGTGAACAGGGACCTTGAAAATGAAGCTGGAACTAATTTTTAAAATTTAAAGATGGGACAATTTCACACTTAAAAAAAATTGCCCACTGGGTGCCAGCATGAATGTCATACTTTCCATAGTATCACTAGCAATTATATATCAAAACTGGGCAGCTAGCTCTCTTTTCTATTAGGTGAAAAACACAAGAATATGATAAATGAGTATGTTACAGCTTTATTTTAATATAGGTTAAGCCATAATTTTAGTGATACAACCAAAATAATGTCTTGAAATGTGATGTGAAATATGTTTCAGAAAAGGTTTTTAGTCACCGGACAATTATCAGAAGACCTTGAGCATCGTTGATGAGTGGGACCCATTTGCAATCGATTTCTGGTGCTGCAATGCTAGGGATGAGACATTACACTTTTCTCTGTTGTCTTAGGCCAGAGAAGAAGTTTCAGAGCCGTTGCTACAGAGCAACAGACTTCAGGATTGGATTGGCCTCGCTCTGTGGGCCACAGGCTGAAGTGAGAATGGAAAAAGTTATCTGTTCATTCATCATTTACTCATTTAAGAAGCATTTGCTGCCCAGTTGGCGTGGCTCAGTGGATGAGCACCAACCTATGAACCAGGAGGTCAGGGTTCAATTCTGGTCTGGGCACATGCCTGGATTGCAGACTCGATCCTGAGTAGGTGGCATGCAGGAGGCAGCTGATCAATGAAAGAGATTTCACCATTGATGTTTCCATCTCTCTCTCCCTCCCTCTCTGAAACCAATAAAAAAAATAAAAAATAAATTTTAAAAAAGAAGCATTTGCTGATGCTTGTTAATGGAGGCCCCAGGCACTGTGTTAGGCTCTGGGGATACATCGGTGACCAAGACTTTCAGTTGTGGAGAAAAGGTGCTCACACTCGAGAGCAGTGTATGCCAAAGGGGTGGGTCTGTGCTCCCTCTGAAAGACAGGGCAATGGCCGGTAATGAGCTCTTGTTTGGGAGATAAGCTGAAGTCAATTATACGTGGATAGGGGGTTGAATCAGTCTGCCATGGCACTGCCTCCTGGAAGCCCAGACTTAGCACCAGGTGATATCTCATCAGGGCGGTTACCCAGCTTAAAGTAATACATGATGAGAATGATCAGAGAAAATACAGATGCAGCTTAAATAATGGGCTAGAAATGGCAAGAGGGGGGCATAAAGGACTTTGTACGTACCCTTGGAAAAGATACATTAATATAGCAATAGAAGACAC